TTTTTTTTTTTTTTTTTTTTTTTTTTTTTTTTTTTTTTTTTTTTTTTTTTTTTTTTTTTTTTTTTTTTTTTTTTTTTTTTTTTTGTGGCAGCTTGAGAACAATTATCAAACTGGATCTCGTAGGTGCTGTAAGAACACTGTAACCTTCAATATTAAAGTGGGGCTAATGAAACCTTGCCTTATTCATATACTCTGAATTTAATTGTTCTTTATCCATAAAATTAATATTAATTTAATTCTTCAATTTCTACTATTATCATCATTTCATTCTTAATTCCATCAAATTTTCGCATTTTAATCATAGCTTCTTTAAATCATTTATCCGTCATAATATTAAAATATATGAAGAAAAAATGTACTGGATTTTTCATCGGCGAAGTGACTGACACGTGAGCGTTCGTGGGTAGCAGGAGCCGCCCGGCGCCGACCAGGGAAGTGCATTTATTTATTTAAATGAATAAAGGTATACGTTTAAAGAATTCCGTGTTGGCGGTGTTAAATGTCACAATCGTGGTGGACGGCACGTGTACTTTCTGAATTCCTGCCGACCCAATTAATTAATTAATTAATTGTTTTTTTTTTTGTTTTCTAAATTTTTTTTTAGAAGTCTTGTGGTTTCCAAGTAAGTGATGAGAAATTGTGGAGGCGGGCGAGATGGGAAGAGACAGTGGTGGGGCCCAGCGGAGGATTGAGACGGCAACCGCCTGTTGATTGAGGTGGCGGTTTCAGGTGGTGGGACCGGTAATATCTGCGTCGGCGGAATCTGTGGAGATGATTTCGTTCTCTTTTATTTATTTATTTATTTTTCTTTTCTTTTCTTTTCTTGGAAACACGTAACGCATCGGGATGCATGCATGATGAAAATATGGACTTTATTGGCATCATTATCATCATCGACTTCAAACCGAAATTTCCTTTTTATTTTATTTTTCTGCGAAATTCATCTCTGCAAAATTACATTTTTGTCCCTCCCTAAAATAAAAGCACCCTGTTATTTACCTGTGGACGACTGCTTTTTTTTATTTATTATTATTATTATAAATGTTTTATAAGTTTGTCAATTTTGTCAATTTTTTAATTTAAATTTTTTATACATAAAATATTCTTACAAATTAAAATTTAAAAAGAAAGCTGATCTTGCTATGTCTCTAAATTTTTAATTTTAAAAGTCAAATAATTAAATAAATATTTTTGTTTGTTAGCTAATAATTTTTAATTTGATCCCTTTTCTAAAATAAATTAATTTCATTCAATAAAAATAATATAGGGAGAATTTTTTGGAAGCAGCCTTTTCAAATTCACTCAAATTCAATAAAGGAAGACTAGCTTTTATTCGCTGGGAAACAAAACACTGTAAATCGAATCAGAATAATATATAATGGATCATAGCACTCAGACATGTACTGATGCTACCTCTTATTATATTCTTTTAGCGACTCATTTTTTTAAAATTCATTGTTTATCTGTTTAATTATATATATATATATATATATATTTATTTATGTTAGGTATAAAAATAAATATTCGTAAAATAATTCGTAATAGTTATGACATCACATACAAATACCCGACACTCCCCACAAAAATATTAAAAAAGAAAAAAAATTAATATTAAAGTCATTTATCTAACTTTTAATTCCATCACTTTCAAAACTTTAAATTATTAGTGGATAAGATTAAAATTTTAAGTGTAATTATAAAAACTTTTACTTGCATTAATTCAAATTTTAGTTAAATGTGGAATATAACTCATTATCTAAAATTTAAATTAAATTGTAATTATAAAAACTTTTACTTGCATTAATTCAAATATATTTTAGTTAAATGTGAAATATAACTCAGATAAATACGGAAAAATATAAAAAAAAAACAACAAATAAATAACTTATTTTCCTTTTTCGGTAGGGGAAAAATATTCTAAAGTGGCTGACGCGCATTGGACATGCCTAGACATTCACGTGGAAAATTGAGAGATGCCACACATCAAAAAGTTGTGAGGCACACCAATTGGGTACGGAACCTAGTTCCAATTTTATAACACTTTAATTATTCAATAAATTTGCACCCATTTAATGCTAAACTATATCTTTTTAATTTAATTATTATTATAAGTAAATGTTTGAATTTTTGACGAATTTTAGAAATAAAAATAAAATTTAAAAAAGGATTTATTTTGTAGATTTTATAATTTTTTTAATTGAAAAAGAATAATAAGGAGAAGAATAAAGGTTGGCAAGTGGTGAGAGGAGCATGGGCCAGGCGTAAAGGTCCAAGTGGAGGGTTGGAGGGATGCCACCAATCCAAAGTCGTGACAAGTACTACACGATTACAAGGGGGGAGCCCGGCTGCGTACGGAACGTTGTAGAGAAGCCGTGTGGAAAGAGAACGGCGTCGTATCGAATTTGAGATTTGGATCGGTTCATCACCTTTGCTTTACTTTACTTTAGCGTTATCTTTGTAATGTAATGGGCAGCCGAAAAACTCCGCCGCCAAGGCGGACGTATAAAACTATTCCCTTGGATTATTGTCATTGGACCCACCACATTAATTATTTTATTACACATATTCCAACGCCTGACACGTGTCCCCAACATGTCATTCCTTGTCCCCGGCTCAGTTCTTTCCTCCTTCCAACGAATTTTATCTTTTTAAATTTTATGGAACCATTTCATTTCTAATTTATTTTTTAAATAATTAAAAAATTAAGAGATAAATACATTCTTATTTTATTTTAGTAGATATCATTAGTTTATCAAACGTTAGTTTTTTTTTTTGTTTTTTTTTTTATTTTTAATATAATGAATTTATAAAGAAAATACTAAATATTTTGTAATTTAATCACTACCAAACTCATTGTATATGATACGTCTTGCTCGCATACATCCACATTAAAAGTTTTGGATCAAATAATTTATAATATTATAAAACAGATGGTCATCAATAGTGTTACAAAGATAAGACACCCAATTTTATTAATATTATAAATTTTTAGGTTATTATTTGAACCTATGTACTAAATTGCAAATAAATAATTAATTAACTAAAGCTAAATTGTGCTAGGGGAGCAAACTAAAAAGTGGTTTGACATGGGCCATTCCCCGACACGAAAAGCCCAATATAAATTATTTGGGCTTTGGCACGGCCCATTTTTCTTATATTATAAATACTAACTTGGAGTGATTTAGTTATTTAGCGACGAAATAAATATAAATTTAAAACTTCACAAAATAAATTTATTTAAAAGAGCATTTAGATCGATGACCGGTATCTGTTTTAGATTAAAACTTTAAGATATTCGTGGAAACATTCGAAACTGGAAGCGAGATTTAAAAAGAGAGGACAAAGAGTCATCTCTGCCGTTGTTTTGCTCTGATACGGCGCGAAAAGAAAATCGGACGGTGCGCGATTCGCTAGCACCGTTTTCTCATGTACAATACACAGGAGATGTGCATTTCATTGTTTATTTTGAGCTCTCATGGAAGTTCTTCAATCTTGGAGTGTGTGAAGAAGAGAAATGAACGCGGCGACTAGAAGAACTGGATGCGTAAGAATTAAGTGATTTCCAAAACATGGCGATTGAGGTACGAGTGATGTTATTTGTTCTTATGAATCTGTAACCGAGACGATTTGTTTCTGTTTCCTTCGATTTTTTCTCAAATTTGGATCGAATCTCATTTATTTCTTTCGGCTGACGAGTTCTTTGTAATATCAGTGCGTCAGCGCTTTTCGATTCGTTTATTGTTTCAGTGTAATACCTCTCTAATTAAGGATTCTACTCTTGAATTGGTCGTTTGATTTTCAGAAAGCTTTGTTATTAGATAATAGGTAATGACATTTTTGTGTTGTTTTGGTCGAGCCATACTCGAGGTCTCTAATGAGTATTGAGCAGTTTCTTAATCAGTCTCTGTTAGGAAATTGTAATGCCATTGATTAATATCTGCTCCAAGAGAAACTACAACGTTAACGTTTTAGAGAGCTGAACCTGCCTTTTGATAGAGGCAACTTTTATTAAGCTTAACTAAAAGCTATTTTCATTTCATTCAAAAAATATTGGTACGTAGTTTTTATCAGAGAACTAGTTAAACTCATTGGCGCTCAGTTTCTGTTGAACAACAAGTTAGTTCATCCATGAACTTTTTTGGTATCGATAACTGTTAGTAAGTTCGATTTGGCTTCGCGTCAGTTTTTTCTTTCTTTTCTCTATATTTTTCCTTTTTCTTTTTAAATTTATATTCAGACTCTTGCTTGTATAAACTTTTTGTGCGTGTATATGTGTGTGAGAGAGAGATTTTGAATTGTCCAACATTTATGTTATACATGTGGAGTTTTGTGCATGCAATGGAAATGCTTGGATATTCGTTTCAGATTTGCTTAATTTTCTGTTTGATCTTTCTATGCTGCACTTTTATGAATGACAATAATCTATGAAATTAAATATTTACTCTCTCCATCGCAGCATAACAAATTCATAAATTACTGCAGCAGAGCTTATCGACATAGATAAGGACAGCACTGGACTTGAAATAAAAATTGAATTTGATTGTGTTCTTAAAGATAGATGATGAAGCGTTATGTTTACATCAACGACGATGAACCATCAAATGATCTTTTTTGCGATAACCGCATCTCGAACCGGAAATATACATTATTGAACTTTCTCCCTAAAAATTTATGGGAACAGTTCAGGTAACTTTTCATTGTAGTAGTTCTTATTAGATCTTACCAGAATTTCTGTAGTTCTCGTTGAATTATTTTCCACATAACATATGATGCATGATCTCAAGAATATCTTATG